GTATGGCTGGAAAAAGCAGACTGATAAGACAAAGCAAGGTATTCTGAGATATAGTTTATTACGGTGCTCTCATAGTAAAGGGAAAGCTTAGATCTCCTTACCTGAAATTAGATTAGGTAAGTAGGTCTACTAGTTTTTGAAAGTAGTAAGTGGTTAGCACGTTGTGTTACTCTTCTAGGGTTACCATAAGAAAGTACCACAGACTAGGCAACTTATACAATGAAATTAATCACTACTCTGGAGTCCAGAAGTCCAAGATCATCATGTCAGCAGGGTTGGTTTCTTCTTCTTCCTTGGCTTATAAAGTTGGCTACCTTCTCCCCCATTATCTTTGCATCATCCAGCCTTGCCTTTGACCTATTTGTATCCTAATTTCTTATAAGGACACCAGTCATATTGAGTTAGGGCTCACCCATATGACCTCATTTTTACTTAATTACTGCTTTTGAGACCCTGTCTCCAAATGCTGTCATATTCTGAGGTACTGGGGGTTAGCACTTCAACATACTAATTCTGGGGAGGCACAGCTCAGCCTATAACATGTGTTATAGGGATGCAAATGTCCCATTAATATCTTTTATCTTCAGAGGAGACAACCTTGATTTGCGATATTGGTAATCTTACATTGCTTAATATTGTATAATGCAATAAAATGAGATTACTATTTATACCTCAATTTTAGGACTTTTGTAAATAATAGCAAAAATAGCTTACTTTAACAAAGGTACAAAAGACTGGCTTTCTTGATCGGGAAATTATTTTCTGATAGCATGTTGACAAGTTTTTCTTCCCTAGCCTGACCCTAAAATGCCAAAGAGGAAAGAGAGACTGTTTGGAATATTGTTACCCTCTTACCCCAAATGCAGAAATAACCCTCTGACAAACCAAAAGTGCCAGAGGATGGGAGATCTTAAATCTTTTGAAATAGTCAACATAATGTGTCAACACCTTCAACTCCTTGATATGTGGTTGCTTTGAATACATTTTTTAAAATAGTGATGCATGTTTATCCATATTTAGATTTAGTATTTATAAATGGGGCAAGTGTCTCGTTATTGTTATTTCATATATACTAGGTTTTTCAGGAAGAACGTTATCTAGAGGAAGGCTGTCAGAAACATCTATTTTGTATGTCAATCTTCTTGAGTTTTAAGAATTATCTTGTCACCTATATTTTGAGTTTGTTTATATATATGTGAAAGAGTCTTTACGTAATTGGAGCAAATTTCCTTTACATCTTTGTTCATATCTGATAACTAATACTAAAAACTTACTGAATTACCTAAATCTGAGTCAGTTGCAGCCCAAGAAAAAAATGTCTTAAGTTTGATGTCTGAGTATATAATAGTGATTTTTGTCTACAGTTTTGCAAGTATGATCTCCTAGTTAAAATAACTTTATTTTTAAATATTAGCCTGTTTGATTTTTTTTTTTTTTTTTTTTGCAGTTTTGGCCAGGGCCAGGCTTGAACCCGCCACCCTCGGTATATGGGGCCGGCGCCCTACTCCTTGAGCCATAAGGCGCCACCCTTGATTTTTTTTTTTAAAGACATAGTCTTACTCTGTCACCCTGGGTAGAGTGCTGTGACATCATAGCTCACAACAGCCTCCAACTCTTGTGCTCAAGTGATCCTCTTGCCTCTGCTTCCCAAGTAGCTGGGACTGCGGGTGTCTGCCATAACACTCACTATTTTTTTTAGAGATGGGGTCTCACTCTTGCTCAGGCTGGTCTCAAATTCCTGAGTTCAAGTAATCCACCTGCCTCGGCCTCCCAGAATGCAACCTGTTTGATTTTTTTAAAATACATCTGTATGTATTTTTGTTTCTTTCAGAACTAGGAGTCATCTGAAAATGTTACTTTCTGTTTCGTGTTCCATGTCACCCACCACTTGGAACAAAATAAAGCCTTTAGTTCCATATAAAGATATACTCACAACCAGATACTAGACAGACAAACAACTTGCTGTACTCCGCCCTGCCCTGCCCTGCCCTTCTGCTTACATAGTTAGAGAAGCTGTTTAGGGTGTTTCTGTTTCTGCCACGGAATCTCTACATGGTGAAAGGGCAACATGCCTGTTAGGGAATTAATTCAGAATTCCAGAGCAGAGACTGAGACTCTTTCAAGAAGGAAGAAGTATAACCAGAACCAGAATGAGTAAAGCCTTGGGTATTACCCACAGAGGGGAAAGGGTCAGGCTAAAATAAGCAGAGCCCAAACCACACCACCATACTTCAGGGCAAAATCAACATACAGTTAAGGAGGTACAGTGTGTGTGGGGTGCTTCTTGATACCATAACTCTTCTTACTGTTGCCACATGAAAATTCATCTAGAAAGACTTATGCTTTCCTTCCTGTTGGGCCTGACTTGGTGAAACAAAGGCTATGAATAGACCACATGAAATGCTGAGAAAATTCATTTTAAATCACTTACTGATAATATATAAATGTTTCAGACTTAGCCCATAAACGGGCTTATTTTTCCAGGGTTTTAAAATATGTATAACTTTATATATTTTTATTATATATATTTATACATGTATTTTTTATTGAGAAAACTACAAAGCTTTATATTGCTGTACCAGAGTATATGATAATGTATCCTGTCAACTTGTTCACAACTTTTCTAAAGAAAGCTGGGTCTTGGAAGGAATGAGCTAAGATCTAGTTGAAATAATCTTGTCTTTCAAAGTCACTTAATGGATAATGACAATGACAAGGAACAGATCATGTGGAAGATAAGGAGGAAATAAGTCTATAGTAGATTATGATGTGGCATGTCAGAAGTCTGGCAGTCATATTTCTAATAAGGAATATGTGCCTAGAAACAACATTTTTCTGGGTAGAAATTGTTAGAATAGTCTATTCATTGGTTTGCCTGTATGTTGAGGGTTCTATATTCTTGACTGTACAACAAACCCATGCTTCTTCTCCTAAGTTGAGAGAGTCATAATTAGTTTAATGACTGATTCTCAGTTGAATGAACTGACTATGAATTTATTGCTATGTTATTTCTCACTTTGACACTGGCCCTATTTCAGACTTAGTGACTTAAAATATGGACAAAAAACACATTGTATCAAATAAAATTAAGGCTAGATCTAGTGTACTGCTAGGAAAACATACAAAATTTAAATATGATCCAACATGTTAGGAAAACATACAAAATTTAAATATGATCCAACGTGTTAGGAAAACATACAAAATTTAAATATGATCCAATGTGTTAGGAAAACATACAAAATTTAAATATAATCCAACATGTTATATATATTTATACACACACACACACACACACACACACATATATATTTTCTGAGACAGAGTTTCACTACGTCGCCCTCAATAAAGTGCAGTGCCATCACAGCTCACAGTAAACTCTTGGGTTTAAGTGATTCTCTTGCCTCAGCTTCCCAAGTAGCTGGGACTACAGGTTCCCACCATAACAACCAGCTATTTTTTTTGTTGCCGTTGTCATTGTTGTTTAGCAGGCCAGGGCTGGGCTCGAACCCACCAGCCTCAGTGTATGTGACTGGCACCCTAACCACTTAGCTACAGGTGCCAAGACTAATATATGTGTATATATATATATATATATTTTTTTTTTTTTGAGACAGTCTCACTCTGTCACCCTAGAGTACGATGATATCATAGCTCACAGCAACCTGAAACTACTGGGTTCAAGCAATCCTCTTGCCTCAGTCTCCCCAGTAACAGGGACTGCAGGCACCCACCACAATACTAAGCTAGTTTTTCTATTTTTAGTAGAGATGGGGTCTTATTCTTGCTCAGCCTGGTCTCAAACTCCTAAGCTTAAGCAATCTACCTGCCTTGGCCTCCCAGAATGCTAGGATTACAGGTGTGAGCCACCATGCCCAGCACCCACATTTAATATTTGGATATAAATGCAAAAGACTAGAAGTTGGGATTATGTTAATCGGCCTTATAGACAAAGTTGAGATAGTGAGAAGTTGCTTTATTTATGGATTGTCATATAATATTTTTATATGAAGTTGGCTGATTGAAATTTCAGTTGTAATGATATTTCTGTAAGTGTGCATAAGTCATGATGATTTAAGTAAATAGGCTTTTGGGTTTTTGTTTGTTTGTTTTGGGGGAGGGGTTATTTTTGTTTGTTTGTTTTGAGACAGAGTCTCACTTTGTCACTCTCAATAGAGTACTGTGGTATTATAGCTCACAGCAACCTCAAACTCTTGGGCTTAAGCGATCCTCTTGCCTCAGCATCCCAAGTAGCTGGAACTATAGGTGCCCGCCACACCATGCCCTTAAAGATGGGGTTGAACTCCTGAGCTCAGGCAATCCACCGGCCTTGGCCTCCCAGAGTGCTATGATTACAGGCATGAGCCACTGGCCAGGCCTTATAAATAGGCTTTTGTTAATTAAAGAAAGGAGAGAAAGTCATTTTCTTTTTTTGCTTTTTTGAGACAGAGCCTCAAGCTGTCGCCCTGGGTAGAGTGCTGTGGCATCACAGCTCACAGCAACTTTCAACTCCTGAGCTCAAGCAAGTCTCCTGCCTCCACCTCCCAAGCAGCTAGGACTACAGGCTCCCGCCACAACGCCCAGCTATTTTTTGGTTGCAGCCATCATTGTTGTTTAGCGGGCCCAGGCTGGATTCGAACCTGCCAGCTCAGATGTATGTGGCTAGCGCCTTAGCCTGTGGCTCTTGAGCCACAAGCTCTGAGCCAGAAAGTCAGTTTCTTCTAGTGACATTCAGACGTTAGTGTTTGAAGTAGCAGTGAGCATCTTGAATTTAAAAAAGCTTTAAAAGGCCCCCTCCTTCCTTAATTATAGTTCCAAGAAGGAATTCAGATTCTTGACATTTTTCCTATTTTTTCAACTTCAATTAAAGAACTATTTTCTTCTTTCTTGTCAGTGTGAACCTACATTTGTCAGGTTTCACCAGCTATAATGACAGTTGACATTAATGGGATTTAACAAATTTTTACACTATGGTCATGTGGACAACAATTTTTTTTTTTTTCAGCATTGGACACTTTTCCACCTTGCTGATGGCATTTTAAATGTATTTGTCAATTTTCCCAAATTTTAACTGAAGAAAATTCTTGAGGACTAAAGAGTGACTCTGCCAATTATCAGGTCAGTATCACCTCTACCAATCCCTACCCTCAGGAATACCTCTGCCATACTAAAATGTAATGCAGTTATGCTATCTTTCATTTATATATCAGACAAACATTTATTGCCATATCCTATATATTGAAATTAGATTAAAATAGTAGAACTGGGCGGCGCCTGTGGCTCAAAGGAGTAGGGCACTGGCCCCATATGCAAGAGGTGGTGGGTTCAAACCCAGCCCCAGCCAAAAACTGCAAAAAAAAAAAAGGTAGAACAGAAGGAATTGTTAAATTTTAATATTTCTAAGGAAAGGTTACTAGACTATGCAAAAATAGATCTGTTGGTTCTTGGGTTATACAGCAGGAGTTGTTTTTTTCCTCCTGTGTAATATTTGTATTATATTCACTTCATGTAGGCACTTAACTAAATGGGTTGGTCCCTATTGGTAAAATGTTCCAGTTATTAAAATTTTTATGCAGAAGTGATTGCCTTACACAGAGATAACAAGTAAGTGTATTATTCTTTATGTCATTGACAAAGAGTCTGACTCTGTCACCCTGGGTAGAGTGCTATGGCATCACAGCTTATAGCAACCTCAAACTCCTGGGTTTGAGCCATCTTCTCACCTCAAGCTTCCCAAGTATCTGGGATTACAGGTGCCTGCCACAACCCCCAGCTAATTTTTTCTACTTTTAGTAGAGACAGGGTCTCACTCTTGCTCAGGCTGGTCTCAAACTCCTGAGCTTAAGCAATCTACCCGCCTCATCCTCCCATCCTAGGATTACAGGCATGAGCCAGTGCACCCAGCTGGTTGAACTGCTTTAAAGTGACTCTAAAGATTGTTTAATTTTATTTTTTTATTAGGATGTATATTTATCATAACAGATGAAAGACTTATTTAATTGGGCTTTCTAACAAATAATACTTGATTTTTAACAAGAAGCTTTATGTGGAACTGAGAAGGATTTCCCAGCTACAAAGGTATTTCTAAGGGCGTTGATCTTTTTTTTTTTTGAGACAGAGTCTCACTTTATCGCCCTCCAACTCTTGGGCTTAGGCCATTCTCTTACCTCAGCCTCCCGAGAAGCTGGGACCACAGGTACCCGCCACGATGCCCAGCTATTTTGAGGGGGTTGCAGTTGTTGTTGTCTAGCAGGCCCAGGGCAGGCCTGAACCCGCCACCTTTGGTGTATGTGGCTGGCACCCTACTCACTGAGCTACGGGCACCAAGCCTAAGGGCATTGATCTTGACTATCCACAATTTTAATAATGGCTTTCTTAAATTCTTTTGGAAAAGAGTGGATAGTAGTTATTAATAATTAAACCACCATTTAGCTGGATTTGGAATGTGGTAAAACATTTATTAACTCAATCTTCATAGCAACCCTATGAGTTAGATATCATCATCCCTTTTTATAGATTAGAAAACTGAGAATCAGAAAATTTGCCCAGTCACAAAACTGGGAAGATGGAGGTGTGGGATATGACTGCAAAGCCACGTCCTCTTTCCAGTGTACCATCTTATATAAACTGTAGCTTTATTAGGCGTGTTTGGGTTTTTCTGGGTTTGGAGGGGGGGTTGTTATTTTTGGTTTTAAAATAACTGTTATGAGACATAGCTCTAATACAATAGTGAGAATCACTTACTAGTTGATAAAATTCACTAGTTAGGAAGTTAGCAGTCAGAGCTGAGGTCACATGTCCTTAAATACAATCTAACAATGAAGTATACATGTTTTTCACTTAAAGGCTGTAACTCTGGAAGGAGCCAATGACTTTTGTGTGAGGAATTACTGGAGGGTGTTTGAACTACTCATATTGTGATTCACTTTAGAAAAAGCTATGATAGTGGGAATTAAAAGAAAAAAATGGGAGAGGGAAAATAGTATTTGTTCTACTTTAGGAGTTAGAAAATATATCTTTCCATATATGAAGTCTGACAGTTAAGTTTGCTGATTCGTTCCAGAAAAAGTACTATATACCTTATTGCTGAATATCAGTATAGTCACCTTCCAAGTACTCCCCTTGGGAAGCTATGTACCAGTGCCAGCTCCTAGTCTACCCTTTAAAGTAATTTTGGAACTCTTTTTTTGGAATGACCATCAGAGCTATTGTCATATTATCCTTGATATTCTGAATGTCATCAAAATGTCCTCCTTTCACTGTTTCCTTTATCTTTCGTAAAGAAAAAAGTCATTGGGGGCCCGATCAGATGAATAGGGAGGGTGTTCCAGTACAGTTCTCGGTTTACTGGCTAAAAATTTCCTCACAGACAGTGCTGTGGGAACTGGTGCATTGTTGTGATGCAAGAGCCATGAGTTGTTGGCCAAGAGCTACACTTAAGATTTTTCCTGTTTCTCTATCCATATTTACCTGGTCTGCTATACTTCTCACAGTCAACTAATGATTTTGACATACAATCTGATGAGTTTTTGCAATGTTTTTGTGAGTTCTGTTCCATTACTGGCTGCCCTGACTTCATCAACGACACTTTCTTTCCTCCATTTGTACACTGCCATTCTCTTTATGGCTTTATCCCAATAAACTTGGATTAACATGTCACTGATTTCATTTCTACTCTTGCTAAGTTTAACAAATTTACAAATGTTTGATAATTGTTCTAATTCAAGCTCTAACATTCTCATAAGGGCACCCCAAAACATGCAACAACAATGATGAACGCCACTCAGCAAGACACCACCACACATTGGCACAAACACAGCTGTGAGACACTGATATACTAAGGTTATGAAATTTTACCAAGTGGTTGTATAGTGCTACCAACGTAAGTGCATGGTGGGACAAGTTGCAAACTTAATTGTTAGACCTCATACACTGATCAGAAGACCTTTCACAGATTGTACACAGTCTGTGTATAGTTTGTGAGAAATTAATCTTGTGGAAAGGATTGACTTTGTGTCTTGCAGTTTGCCATTAACATATTTTGGAACATGCAAATCCTCATAGAAATGTGAAGTTCAATTTGTAGTAGCCTAGCCAATTAGATGTTTAAACAATGTATTTTAAGAATTCATTTTAAAATATATTCATGTGTGGTAGCATTAAGTCTATCTTACCATACCAAATATAAAAAACTATTGTCTCTGAAAGTAGACAATTTATTTTATTTATTTACTTATTTTTATTTTTATTTGTGACAGAGTCTCACTCTGTTGCTCAGGCTAAAGTGCCGTGGCATCAGTCTAGTTCACAGCTGTAAGTGCCCACCACCATGCCCGCTAACTTTTCTATTTTTAGTAGAGATGAGGTCTTACTATTGCTCAGGCTAGTCTTGAACTCCTAGGCTCAAACAGTCCTACCACCTTGGCCTCCCAGAGTCCTAGGATAACAGCGTGAGTCACAACACCCAGCCAAAGTAAACAATTTAAAGAAAAACTTCTTCCATACTCCTATCAAACATTATCTTTGCTCAGATTTTATTTCAGCCAATTGAAGGGGGATGCCAGAATATTTTATATACAGTTTTGGAATTTCATTTTTGTTTTTTGTTTGTTTGTTTATTATTAAATTATAAACACATAGATCATGTATACATTAATGCCTTTATGGGGTACAATGTGCTGATTTCATATAGAATTAGGAATGCTTATATCACACTGGTTAATATATACCTCATCTCATTTACTTAATTATTGTGTTAAATCATATGCTAATAGATCCGACATGTACCCTTGCATTATGCACCATAGGTGTGATCCCACCATTCACCCTTCATCAGTCTGACCTCCTCCCTCCCCTCCCATCTACCCCCTCCTCCCTCCATCATCTTGGGCCATAATTGTGATCTATTCTTAATATGAAAGTGTGAGTGATTGTAAATTGGTTTCATAATAGTATTGAGTACACTGGATATTTTTTCTTCCATTCTTGAGATACTTTACTAAGTAGGATACATTCAAGCTCTATCCATGTAAACGTAAAAGAGGTAAAGTCTCCATTTTTTTTAAGGCTACATAATATTACATGGTATACATATACCACAATTTATTAATCCATTCATGGGTCACTGGGCACTTGGGCTTCTTCCATGACTTGGCTATTGTGAATTGAGCTGCAGTGAACAATCTGGTGCAAATATCTTTGTCATAAAGTGATTTTTGGTCTTTTGGATATACGCTTAGTAGAGGAATTGCAGGATCAAACGGCAGGTCTACTTTTAGTTCCCTAAGTATTCTCCATACTTCTTTCCAAAAGGGACATATGCTGGCACTCTCACCAGCAGTGCAGAAGTGTTCCCTTTTCTCCAGGTCCACACCAACATCAGAAGTTTTGGGATATTGTGATGAGAGCCAGTCTTCCAGGAGTTAGATGATTTTGCAAAGTGGTTTTGATTTGCATTTCTCTGATGATTAAAGATGATGAGATGATTAAAGATTTTTTCATGTGCCTGTAGGCCATGAACCTATCTTTTCTATTTTTTGGTTAGTTTGGCCAAAGATTTATCAATTCTGTTGCATTTTTCAAAAAACAACTTTTTGATTTGTTTATCTTTTGAATAATTCATTCGTTTTTGATTTCATTTAATTCTGCTGTGATTTTAGTTATTTCTTTTCTTCTGCTGGGTTTTGCGTTGGAATGTTCTTCCTTTTCCAGTTGCTTAAGATGTCCCATTATTGACTTCCTCTCTTTCCATTCTCTTGGGGAAGGCTTGCAACACTATAAATTTCCTTCTAATTTCCCAATAATTCATGTCTTCATTATTGTTTTATTCCAAAAATTTGGTAATTTCCTTCTTAATCTCATTTATGACCCAGCTATCATTCAGCATAAGGTTATTTAGTTTCCATGTCTTTGTATGAGTATGCAGATACCTGTTATTGGTGAGTTCAACTTTTTTTGGTTTTTTTGTTTTGTTTTTTTTTGTTTTTGAGACAAAGCCTCAAGTTATCCCCCTGGGTAGAGTGCCATGGCATCACGCTCACAGCAACCTCCAACTCCTGGGCTCAAGCGAGTCTCCTGCCTCAGCCTCCCAAGTAGCTGGGACTACAGGCGCCCGCCACAACGCCTGGCCATTTTTTGGTTGCAGCCATCATTGTTGTTTGGCGGGCCCGGGCTGGGGATTCGAACCCGCCATCTTAGGTGTATGTGGCTGGCGCCTTAGCCGCTTGAGCCACAGGCGCCGAGCCTGCTTAGTTTCTTATTGGAGGATCTATCCAACACTGCCAAAGGGATGTTAAAATCTCCCAACCATTATGGTGCTAGAAGATATGAAATTGTTCATGTCTGTTAGAGTCTTCCTTATAAATTGAGGACCATTCTAGTTGGGCACATAAATGTTAATAATTGACATCTCATCATGTTGAGTGTTTCCCTTAACAAATATGAAGTGACCATTCTTGTCTTTGCTTACTTTTGTTGGTTTAAAGCCTAGTGTATCTGCAAATAAAATTGCCACCCTTGCTTTTTTCTGATTTCTGTTTGCCTGGATTATAGATGCCCATCCTTTCACTCTGGGTCTATATTTATCCTTTAAGGTAAGATGAGATTCTTATATGCAGCAGATATCTGACCTGAGTTTTTGTATCCAGTCAGCCAACCTGTGCCTCTCAAGAGGACTAAGCCATTCACATTAATTAAGAGTATTGATAAGCCTGGTTGTATTTTGGGTGTCAAGTTTTTCAAAAGCACAGTGAATCTTCAAAAGCACATTTTGAATCTTTTCACCACTGTGGAAATTGGATTTGGGTCAAGAATTCAGAGTGAGTTTACTTTGGTGGTAGAGTATTGCGCTGGTCATTATAGAAGATGGGTCTGAGGATATCCTGAAGAGCTGGTTTGGTTATGGCAAATTGCTTCAACGTGTGTATATCATTAAAGTATTTAACTTTTCCATTATAAATGAAGCTCAGTTTAGCTGGATAACAGGATCCTGGGCTGAAAGTTGTTTTGTTTTAGGAGATTGAAGGTCAGTGACCATCCTCTTCTGGCTTAAAATGACTGAAAGATCAGTCATTCTAATATTCTTCCCCTTGTAGGTTATAATTTTCTTAAATCTGGTTGCTTGTAGGATTTTCTCCTTCATATTAACTTCAGTGAAGTTAATTACCATATGTCTAGAAGATGTTTTATTTGGGTTGAGTTGTGCTGGGGTTCTGAAACTGTCTGCTATCTGAATTTCAGTATCTCTTGCCATGCTTAGGAAGTTCTCCTCAATTATCTCTTGGAATAGAGTATCTGTGCCTTTCAGACCATCTTCTCCTTCAAGGATTCCAATAAGGCAAATGTTTGCTCTTTCCGTTTTTTCTCTTCATCTTTGAGTATTTGGGAGCATTTAAAAGCTTTGCTTCAGTGTCAGAGATCCTTTCTTCTGCCTGCTCCATTCTGTCACTGGGGGATTCTACTGTATTTCTCCTATCTTTGAGGACTACAAGTTCTTGCCTCCATGTGTCAAAGTCTTTGGTGATTTTATCTCTGAATTCATTGAATTCTTGAGGCAACGTTTGAATTGCTCCTTGAATTTCTAATTCCATCTTTACCTCCCTTCTGTTAATCTTATTTGCAATCCAAATTCTGAATTTGATTTCTGACATCTCAGCCATTTGTTTACAAATGGGATCTTCTGTTGTGTCTCCTTTGTCATTCCTTGGGGGAGTTGATCTACTCTGATTATTCATGTTGCCAGAGTTTTTCTGCTGATTCCACCCCATGATTATTTTTCACCCTTTGGCTAGAGAAGCTGGCAAGGTGAAATTGAATTGAGGGCTCCTGGAGTTGTAATTAACCAGCCCTTTACCAAAGAACTGGGACTGGTGATTGCAGTTTTTCCCCTAGAGCTTTACAAAGGTCCCATTCAGAACTACAGCCTGAAACTCTGGGCACCTGCTTGGTGTGGTGGGGCTAGATGGCACTGACCGGTATTCAGCTAATCTCTGTCCAATTCTAGTGAATCAGTGGCTTTGGGTGAAATCTCAGCCCAGGAGATACATAAGCAACTAAGACACCCCGCCCTCCACCCCCCAGGCAACAACTGGAAGGAGAGACTCCCAAAACAACACAACCAGGGTGCAACCTTGGTGGGTCCCTGGGTGATCAGCACAGGTCTAGAGTTCTAAACCAATTGTCCCAGTCAATACAAACACTGATTACGTTAGAGTTCAAAAGGTCTTCAGCATCTAGGCAGCGGTGGTCCACTTGACACCAGTGGGAGGGACCATGGAACTGCCACTGTTAGGGGTGGCCCACAGGTCTGGGGTACCACTGTGTGCAGGTTGCAGTAGCCGGCATAGCTGAAGGGCTTGCCACTAGCCTCAAGGGTCACAGGAGCCAGGTGGGGAACCGAATGCGGAGCTGCTGGGTGGAGTCACTGGCCTGGGGTGAGGGTGGAGCCTCAGGGGTCACAGGAGCTAGGCAGAAGTTGCAGGCACTGGGCTGTGGGTCTCAGGAGCCCGGCAGGGAACGGAAGGGCAAAGTTGCAGGCCCTGAGCCACAGGTAGCAGGAATGGGGCAGGAGTCGCAGGAGCCAGATGGGGAGCCAAGGGCGGAGTCGCGGGCCTTGGGCCATATGGGTCTCAGGAGCCAGATGGGAGTCACTGGCCCCCAGGCTGTGGGTCACAGGGGCTGGGCAAGGTGCTGGAGGGCGGAGTCTCCTTCTGTTTGTTTATTTTGAGACAGAGTCTTTCTGTATCACCCTTGGTAGAATGCCCTGGTGTCACAGCTCACAGCAACCTCTAATTCTTGGGCTCAAGTGATTCTCTTGCCTCAGTGTCCCAAGTAGCTGGGACTACAGGCACCCACCACAACACCCAGCTATTGTTTTGTTGTAGTTGTCATTTGTTTTAGCAGGCCCAGGCTGAGTTGGAACCCACCAGCCCTAGTATATGTGACAGGTGCCCTAGCTGCTGAGTTACAGGCACTGAGCCTCAGTTTTAGAATTTGGTTGTCTAAAACTGGGGCATCATTTCCAGGCTAGCTTTTCTTTCTTTCTTTCTTTCTTTTTTTTTTTTTTTTTTTTTTTTTTTTTTGTGGAGGAAAGAATGGGTTTGGGGTTCTGTGCTGAGTCAACACAGTCTAATGATTTTTAAGTGAAATAGTTTTCATTGTAATACAGTTTTACTTGAACTTCTGGGGGACAAAATTAGTGACTAATTCTTTTCTGAGACCTTCTAGAATGTTTGTAAATATGCCTGGAACAAAGATGACAAAAAACTGATCTTTGTGAGTGGTGATAAAATCAGTAATTAACATGAATTTTTTTCTTTTTTTGAGACAGAGTTTTACTTTGTCGCCCTCAGTAGAGTACTCTGGTGTCCTAGCTCACAGCAACCTCAAACTCTTGGGCTCAAGCAATTCTCTTGCCTCAGCCTCCTGAGTAGCTGAGACTACTCAGCACCCAGCTATTTTTAGAGATGAGGTCTCGATCTGGCTCAGGCTGGTCTTGAACCTGTGAGCTTAGGCAATCCACCCACCCTGGCTTCCCAAGTGCTAGGATTACAGGTGTGAGCCATTCTGCCTGGCCCCTTAAGTGAATTTTATTTTCTCTTACTATTCAGTTTGTGATGAACATCAGAAAGCTCTTATATTTCTCTATAATTGTAATATCTCCTTTCTTAAAGCATTTTATACTGTAATTGCTCTTATCAGTGTCAATTTATTTTTTCTTTAATTATATGAAGATTTTCTGATTGTTGTCTTTGTTTTAGGCTTTCAGGATGAATCTGGAAAAGCTCAGCAAGCCTGAACTCCTGACACTTTTTAGTATTCTTGAAGGAGAGCTTGAAGCAAGGGACCTTGTTATAGAAGCTTTAAAGGTATGTTAAAAGAAAAAAGAGAGGGAGGTCCTCATAATTTTGAAAGTCATTTCATTGGTTGAAATTTATTTAACTTGGCTATTTCTGTACCTAATCAAGTTGAAGGAAGGACATATTTATACTTGCTATAGGCAGCTACCTCTGTGGTATGATTTCAGGGACACTAATAAAGCTTTTTTGTCCTCAGGACTAGTCCCCTTAGTCTCTCTACCTGCTGTCTAGACCTTAAACTTCATTTCTTGAGTTGAGTGGACCTTAGCTGTTTTTAAATGCTAAATGCTTAGAACTTGATGAGACCCACTTTCGTGGGTAAAATGGAAGTAAAATTTATATATATTTCCAAATGTCAAATTTTAGGATATAATATTTAAGAGATAAAAGATCCCATGAAGATATCCATGGATGAATTCTGATTTTGGTAGAAAAGATGGCACCCACCTCTAGTCCCAGCTACTGCAAAGACTGGGAAGGAGGATCACATGAGCCTTGTGATCCAGCCTGGGAAACATAGCAAGACCCTGTCTCTAAAAAAACAAAAAGGAGAAGAAAAAAAAAGAATTCTTACTCTTGTTTAAGTGTTTAATATCTTGTAAAATGCAAGGGAGTAGGGGGAGATTGTGCATATATTGGGGCAGCAGGTATACAGCAACTGTCCTGTGTATTTAAAAAAATACAAGGGGGCATGCTCCTTTCAAGTGTCACTACTCCTTTATACCTTGGTAAGGGTTTTGCCCATTCTGTGTCTTGAGAGCAGATTTGGATAGGGAAATAAAAGACGTTAAGGGTGTTTATGTGAGTAGTGGGAAAATGACACTCCCAAAAGGCGAAGAGAAATGGCTAAAGAAGGCAAGGCTTGATCATGCTAAAGAATGGTCCCTGCAGAGGGAAACAGAGTAAACATCGAAGATTTTTATGTAAGAGGTTGTACTGGTATACATCTTAAAGTTCATTAATGCAAAGCTTATAAAGTGCTTTACTACACTTTTCAAAATTAACCTAGCTCTTTTTTTGAATAAAAGGGACATTTGTATCAATATTTCATGTGTTCTTATGAAGCTGCTTTGTTGAAGTCTGTTTTTTTTTGTTCGTTTGTTTGTTTTTGAGACAGAGTCTCACTTTGTCGCCCTTGGGAGAGTGCTGTAGCGTCATAGCTCACAGCAGCCTCAAGCTCTTGGGCTTAAGAGATTCTCTTGGCTCGGCGCCTGTAGCTCAACGGGCTAAGGCACCAGCCACATACACCTAAGGTGGCGGGTTCGAATCCAGCCCAGACCCGCCAAACAACAATGACGGCTGCAACCAAAAAATAGCCAGGCGTTGTGGCAGGCGCCTGTGGTCCCAGCTACTTGGGAGGCTGAGGCAGGAGACTCGCTTGAGCCCAGGAGTTGGAGGTTGCTGTGAGCTGTAATGCCACGGCACTCTACCCATGGGGACAGCTTGAGGCTCTGTCTCTAAATAAATAAATAAATAAATAAAAATTAAAAAAAAAAAAAAAAGAGATTCTCTTGCCTTAGCCTCCCAAGTAGCTGGGACTACAGGCACCCACCACAGCACCCGGCTATTTTTTGGTTGTAGTTGTCATTGTTGTTTGTCAGGCTCAAGCTGGGTTCGAAGCCTTTTGTTGAAGTTTTTTAATAGCAACAGAGATCATTTTCCCATCACTATTCTTGATGGCTTAGCTTAGAGAATCAGAGTGATGATCCTACCTAATTTGTGTGATGTAATAGTACATTTCAAAACTATTAAAAAATGAGTATTATTGTGAATAAAAAATAAAAGTATAAAAAATAAAAATTTGTATTTAGCCAAATCAAATAATTATTCTGATTTTCCACAATGTTTTAGTATATCAGCTTGAAGATAATTTAAATAACTTAAAACCTTGCACTTATACTAGTTTTTAGATATTCATTATATGCCTACATCATTTCTAAGTAAAATGTGTCACTAAGGCTGTTTCTTTGGTTGTGTTAATCAATGTGCTTATTTTTGCTACTTTGAAAAGCTATATAAAGATGTGTGTGTAGGCTGGCTGGGCATGGTGGCTCACCTCTGCAATCCCAATATTTTGGGTGGCTAAGATGGGAGGATTGCTTGAGCCCAGTAGTTCAAGACCAGTCTGGGTAACATGACAATAACACCTCTCTATAAAAAATTTTTTTAAAAATGGGGAAGGGGGAGGGAGAGGGGGGAGGGAGAGGGATTCGAGGGTTCACTTCTGTGGTTCATCTTGCAAGGGTACAACTGAATCTTTCTATGAGTAGAATATGAATGGTTTGACATAATAACTAAGAAAGTTACATGAAGGCTATGTTAACCAGTTTGATGGAAGTGTCTTGGATTGTGTGTGAAAACACCACATTGTACCCCCAAAGTGCATCAATGTACACAGTTACCATTCAATAAAAAAAAAAAAAAAAAAAATTCACCACCATGGTCATATGCCTGTTGTCCCAGCTATTCAGGAGTCTGAAGTGGGAGGATCACTTGAGCCTAGGAGTTGGGAGTTTGTAGGGAACTATGATCACATCACTGTGCCCCAACCTAGGATACAGAATGAGACCTTGTCTTAAATAAAAAAAGGTCAAATGAACAAATAAAAAGATTGGCTATAGAACAAAAAAAAAAAAAAAAAAAAATAGAAAAACTAGCCAGGCATAGTGGCTGGCACTTGTAGTCTCAACTATTCGGGAAGCTGAGGCAAGATTGCTTAAGCCCAGGAGTTTGAGATTACTGTGAGCTATGACAGCACGGGACTCTACCAGAGCAACATAGTGAGACTCTTATCTCAAAAAATAAAAATAAAAAAACCCCTAAAATTTGTATGTGCAACTTTACAGTTTGTATGATGACATTGTAAATACTCCAATGGTGTGGGATTCCTTTCTTCTTTTCCTTTTATTTATATGCCATCAGTATCTATCATGCACCCTATATCCGAGGAGCAGTTAGTAGTTGTCATTTGAATGGATATCTCCAGTGTGTTCTCAGCAGTCATTAATTTTTTAATGACTCTCTTACCAACATATATAACATGTAAATGTTCACTCTAGTTGGTAACTCACCTCTGCCACATTGATAAGCCCTCCCTTTTTGTTAATTCTTAATGATTTCTTTACCCCTCCTCCTGAGTTCCTGAAAGCCCTATTCCATTTCTTACAACCTAGTCCCATTATTACCAGTAGTCCTAATCTCCTTAATCCCAGGATACCCTCCCATTTCTTATCTCTTTTTTATCTCATCAATGAAGAGAAAAGAAAAGAGAGGACTGGGGAAAGTTTGAGCTCATTCCTAATTCTCATCCCTAATTGCCTGTTGTTATTCTTCTTTCTCCCAGTTACTATCTACCTCAGTCGCTTTATAATAGGCCTAGGGGTGGGAGGATGGCTGCTGTTTAATAGAAAAATCAGAGGATCACTCTTTCCCTTTTATAGTTTAGCAATATAACCTCTCTACTTTTCAGCCTTAGAAAGTATACAGACCTGTAGCGCTTTATGTGTCTGTTTGCTAATCATCGTACCCTCGGCACCCAGCATAGTGCCTGGCATGGAGATGCTCAATAAACCTGTGTTGAACAAGTGAAATGATTGCGCCACTGTGGTATGATGCTTCAAAAGATGCTCATAACACTTCAGAGTGAATGCTGTGAACTACCAAGATTAAAGTCTGTTCCTGGTGCTCTGCGGCACGTACTGCCGTCTGGCTTTAGTGTTAACAGGTGCTTAGGTGCTTGTTGGACATGTTTTCCTAAAATATATTTCCTGTGAGTGAATCCAATTTGGGTTACTATAGGAGCTCCTGCCAATTTGAAAAGGCAGCTTGAAAAGCAGGAACTATAATTAAGGGAGCATTTTGATACAAGATACCATTCAGAATCTGGCACAAGTGTTGTATTTAATCTGCATGTGGTCTGTAGGTGATAAAGTTATTCTGAGGCTGAAATCTATGGTTAGATAAAATAAGTGGCAACTAGGGTTAAAATTATTTCAATACTTTGAGAAAAGCAGCTGCCACATCAGATTCTTAAAGTTAAAATGAACCTTTTATTTTGGGTGGTAGCTTTGTTTTATTTTGTTTTGTTATTTGTTTTGGTTCTGCGCATATATATCAAGATTTTACTGCATTATTTCTGCAGCTTTTGCTTAACAAAGCCTGTTGGACTCTTTGGAATAATGTGACAGCTTACTAATTTTCTTCCTTTTTATGTTAGTTCCGAATTCATGCTTAGTAGGTAAAGGTTTTGATCTTTATCCTAAATAGCTATGATTGCTTTTCCCTTTCTGTTTTGCTTTCAGTACATTTTCCCTCTTCTTTACCTTCAAAATAGACTTTTCTCTGGACATAAAGTCTATTCTTCAATTCTTCAGCCTTGCATGTCTGACCAAAAACCATATGGTTCACTGTCACCTTTCCGGCAAGGGTTGGGTTTCTTAAGGGATATATAGGCTGGCCGTAAAGTTTATGTGCAATTTAAAATAGTGTGCAATTTAAAATTGCACATGAACTTTATGGCTACCCTGTATTATAAAGTTCTCATTGCTTGTAAGTGGATCCTACACATAGAGTAAAAATCGTAGGCCAGGCACGGTGGCTCATGCCTGTAATTCTAGCACTCTGGAAGGCCACAGCAGGTAGATTGCCTGAGCTCATAAGTTCGAGACCAGCCTGAGCCAGAGCGAGACCCTGTCTCTAAAAATATCTGGGCATTGTGGCAGGTGCCTGTAGTCCCAGCTACTCGGGAGGCTGAGGCAAGAGAATCACTTGAGCCCAAGAGTTTGAGGTTGCTGTGAGCTGTGATGCTGCGGCACTCTACCAAGGATGACAAAATGAGACTGTCTCAAAAAAAATAAAATAAAATAACAAATTGTAAAAGAGCTTCATTTTCTAGAATTTCTGCAAAGTGCCAGATTGCAGCTACACCCTTCTAGAGCCGCCTTAGTTATGTTCTTTTTCTCTTGCAAAGCCTCCTCACTGTTCTGTTACAGCCAGCACAAGTTTGCAGC